GGAGAGNGAGAAGAGAGAGAGAGAGAGAGAGAGAGGGAGAGGGAGAGGGAGAAACGTTAAAATCTTAATCCAAGAACGTTAAACGTTAACAACTTCTCGAGATGTGTAAATCTTACATGTGAAGCTTTTGTTAATAACGCTCCAATTGAAATTTTAACGATCTATAAATTTGTTTTATCGTCCGGGTTCAAGAGGTGGTGAAAAAAATGTTCTTTTATAGCGTTTCACGTTTCAACGTGTTATATGGAATATAACTCTGCACGAATGAGCAAATCGTTTTGAATGGTTGAATGTAAAAAAAAGTTTCATTGGATAATATGAAATGAATTTGGATGGTGTGCCATTGTGGTGTGAAGTTTTTTTTAGATTGACAAATTTTATAGTCTTCAAATAACGATTCATAAAGTTTTAAATTCTATAAAAGAAGTTATATTTATTATATTAGAATATAGAAAAACGTATTTTATTGAATAAAATGGAATATCTTTAATATTTACTATGTGTCATATGATGTATAATTTATATCAAAAGTGAAGGAATTTTTAAAAATCAGACGATTGTTGAAAACTTTTTAATATTCAAATGATAATCTATAAAATCTGAAACTTTTTAAAAAGAACATTTTTATTAAATTAGAATACTATTACTAAAATTCACTGTAAAATTAGTACATTCTGTTGAGGAAATTAATTAAAAATTGATATATCATAGTAACATTAATTAATTTTAATGATAAAGTACTATATGGTAAAGTGGAATAATTTTTAAAATACATAAATTTTATAAGAAAACCATTTTTCACCCATGAAATTAGGACATTGTTAAATCTCATTGCTTAATAATTAAAGGAAACTGTATTAACTATTGTATAACTAATTATTAATTTATATATTGAAAAACTTGAATAAAAACGATTCACGATTCGTATTTAGTATTCCAGAGTTAGAAAAAAATTCTCAATGATTACCTTGGTCCCATAATCGCCATCAACATTCCAGAATTAACTATACCATTGACTGGAAGCATATCAAAGAATTAATCTTTTATAATAATTCATATTTATTGATTTAAATCTATCTATATCTGATTAAGATATTATATTTCTTTGATTTTTCTAATGTAAAATATACCTCCATGGAGTAATTGAATGAGCTCAGTGTATTGGAAACCGAAAATCGCTCGAAGACTGCCGCCATTGGTCTTTCTCTCGACCGTGTAAGAAATATTCTTCCAAGTCAGACACAAATCAGTTGGTACATTTAAAGGCAAAGTAGGATATTTCACCTGCTGCTTCATCTGAAAAAATTTAATACAATTTATAATTACTTATTTCTCCTTCTTTTCTTTTTCAATCATCAAAATTGAATTTAAATGATTTCATTACAAAGCAAATAAATAAATAAATAATCTTCTATATAATAAAATTTACTTTATAACTTTCTTCCAATAAATAATTTCATGAAATTTACTATAAAAATTACTAATTTTTCAATACTCGTAAACTGTATAAAATTAAAAATTTTAAAAAATGTAAAATCTGAAAACTCATGACGCTTCATTCAGAAAATTCCCAAAAAACAGATGAACAAAAGTAAAAACGAAATCGATGTAACGTCCATCGAGCTTCCAATGTGATTCTCGTGTTTAGAGAATGGATAAAACGTATTTAAAATCAACAATCGTAATTATTCAGAATTGAGTCACTATTATGAAACGCAAAAGATTAAAAAAAAAAAAAGAAAAAAATAAGAAAAATTCAAATAGATTCATAGAAGATTTTTGTAATTATACAAGAATGTTTATTGTAATGAGCAACCCTTCCACTCAATGTCTCATTAACATAAGATCACGTTCGATTATATAAAACACAAGTCCGGCTTGTGAATCAACAAATATAATGCTGTTTATGTAAGTGTTATCTTTTAATTAAACTTTAGATTAATGTATTTATATCTACTTTATCAATTTTTTCAGAATTAAATTCCTTTTGTAAATAAAATAAAAATTTTCTTTTTTAGTAACAATTATTTATGATAAATATATTATTATTGTTTTCTTTTTGCAATGTTTGTTTTTAAAAAAAATATAATGGCATTAAATTTAATAAGATCTGTTTCACTAAGAATATATGTATAATCAATTGTCTTATAAAAATTCTATTATCCATTGTATCGAAATCGAATATTAAATGAAATCTAAATTAATACAGATTAAAAAAATAAATATAATAACGATTGCTATTGTTTATATGTTTATCTGAGATTATTAAACTGTATTCATATCATATTCGTATTATAAAAATATTGACTGTATTTATTATTCAGTTATTAAATCATTTATTTATTCGAGGAAAATATAACAAATAGGTAAATTTCTTTTTAAAAAAGGCTCAAATTTTATTAAATTATATCTTTCTAACAAAAAACATATATATGTAATATACATATAATAATTAGAAAAATTATTTGCACATATCTTTATTTTTCACTAATCTTAATTATATTATTTTTCCTAAGATTTAGAAATTCAAATATAAATAAATTTTCTGATGAATACAGATTTTATTTTTAAAAGAAACTTACTTTATATTCGTTATATATATATATATATATGAGTCAAGTGAAGAATTCTATGAAGCAAATGTATCATGTTTAACTTGCACGCATGCATTTATCAAACCGCAAAACTTTTAAAAAGAAAAAATCAATCATGTACACGAGGAGAATATCCCTATGAAAAATGAGAATATTTTCCTAATAATAATAATACAAATATCATTGATATCTATCTCAAATCGTAAAATAAATATCTCTAGTAAATTATAAAAAAAAAAAAAATAATATTTAACATAATATTTTAACATTTTGTTGGAAATTTAAGAATTTAAATTTTTATTCGAAATTAATATCATTACAATCTTCATCTAGGAAAAAAATATTATCCAATATGTGTAAAATATAAAATATAAGAAATATCATTAAACATTATATGTAATATATTAATGTAAATATGTAATATAAATACAATTTTCGAGTGAAGTATGCATGAACAATATAAGAAAAAAAAAAAAGAATTAAAAAAGTTTTAATTTCAAAACACATTTAATTTTGTCATTTAATAATTAAAATAGAAAATTTCGTATTAATCTTGGAAATAAGTGTGCCTATGCTTAAGTATTTCGTTACACCTTAATGCACATCTGTCTTGATTAAATATTTTGTCTTATTCTTTTTAAGTTCACATTGATAAGATAGTAGACCATACATGTAATATTAATATATTCACAGGATATCTTCAGAAGATTAATTCTATCAAATGCAAAAGTTGGGATGCAAAAATGTGAATTAAGATATATTTATTAAGTTATAAAGAAATAAAGTTTAGACAAAGAGTGATGAAGATAGAGTGTACCTGCTCCATCTAACATAAACTTCATTTGCTCGTAATTTAATAAATAAAACTTGAAGTGATATATATTTGTATACCATTTTATATTCATGCTTTAGCCTCTGAAATCGATCCTTCCAAAAGTATTCAATATAATATTAATATTTTATAAGAACAAATAAGATTTAGTCATAATTAAATCATAATTTATATTTCTTTTATCTTAATTTTATAAAAAAAATCATATTATCGTATTAATTTACAATTTTTAAAAATTTACAAATTTTATATATATCAGAAAATTTTATTATCTTCATATTCAATTTATTTTTATGTAAAATATAAATTTCTTAAGTTTCCAACAATTATTACAGTCTAAATTCATAATGATATCTCGATACTGTGAAATATTTCATAATTAAAATATTTTCTTGTAAAAATAATTCATATATCATTATAGACAATAAAAATTATTAAAAAATATTTTGAACAAATAAATTATTTTTCATTCTCACCGTTATAAATTCATTTTAAAATCCTTTTATTAATTCCTCTACGTTTCATTTTTTCCAAAATAATCAATTAATAAAATCATTTTCAACATAAATCGTTCATAGCAAATATTATATCCACTTACTCTAACCGTATCGTAGAAAATCATCTCGCAGAATCACTATACAACAAACAGTTCTACAACATTTCCACAATAATTTATTCACAAATCACCAACAAACAATAAATTATTTACCCGACAAATTGTTCATAAATAATCGAAAATAGATACATAAATAAGGTCTACTACAATTAATTTTTATCAATTTGAAAATACTTCGAAGATCCATGGAACAACACGCAACCATCATTATGTAACATCTTCGTGTATAATGAAACACAAGATATTAAGTGATTATCTATATAATCGACGAATAATTAAAAAATATCATTAAAACATGGTATTCTAATTAAAATCAGTTATCACTTTTACTATTACAAATTAATTTTAAATAGAATAATTTCCACGAAACACTAAACTAACCGATAATACAGGTTAGTTCTACAGTTTTTATTATGGCGTATCGGTTGAATGAAGTGCAGGAATTAAAACGAGAGACTGGTCAAGTTGTAGTAACCAGAGTGGAGCTTTGCTCGCGACACCATCGCAAGTGGTTTTGTGAAAGAATAAGCGACTGTGTGTCTTATATGGAACGGAAGACCGTTATACAACGACTATAATACAACGAACTCGTTGGTGGAAACAGTGAAAGGATTATGCTACAAGAAGACGTATTTCTTAGCGGATTGGCGGATATTAGAGATGCTAAATCTACTTCAGATGGGGGTGTATTCAGTTGGATAGTTAATGATCTTCTTGTGTATACACAATTGGTTGGAAGTTAAATTTTAATAATTTTTTTTTTAGAAATTAAAGATAGTAATTATTTATTAATGGTTTATTATTGAGGTTTATTATTTTAAACAACTTTTTATGATTATAAATGTGTCTGTTGTTATAGTAAAGAATATTTTTTGTTATATATATAAAAAATTTTTGAAGATAAGAGGTTTGGAATAAGTTCAAGTTAGAAATTGCACCTATAACGTTTGAAATAAATTTAGGTTAGGTTTAGGTTTGGATTGCGGTTGGAACAAGTTTATGATAGGTATAAGTTAGATAGTTTTAGATTAAGTTTGGATTGTGTTTGGATTTTAGGATTAGATTTAGATTAAATAGATTTAAGTTCGATTTTGAAATTGTGTTTGGAATAAGTTTAGGTTTAAATTAGATTTTAGTTCGATATGTATTATTTTCTTTGATCCATCCACACTTTCTTTTCAATATTATAGTAATTAAATTTAATACTTCTTTATATTGTTTTGTTCTTTCTTTATTAACAATAATTTGTATAAAATATTTTTTATTACTAATGTTTGGTAAAAAAACATGAAATAAATCGTTCGTGAAGCCAAACATTTATATGTATGATCATTTCTATTTATTTTATTTTCGATTAAATCATTTTAGAAAGTTTTTATTTAAAAAAATAGAAAATAAATGAATCTCTTTAAAACATAATTATACATATATTTTCATATTCTATAAATCTTTATCTTTATTACAAACTTGTTTAAGATAAATGTACTCTAATTATAATTGAATAATCAATATTTATCTTGATTCTATCTGAAGATTGCTCAAATATCGTAACGCGTACTATACTTTTACGCATATTTTTATATTCTATAAATACTTTTCTATGCATATCTAAAACGATCCAACGATCTGATAATCGTCATTGATCGATCGAATCAACGAAAAACGAAAGATGGATAACTTAGCGTGGCATCGGCGTGAGGTTGTCCGCAATCGCAATGAAACGATGGAAATATTGGAATCGGCGCAATATGATTCCACGACGGATCGCGAAATGAAACGAACAATGTTTGCGTTGCGCGGAACGATGAATCACCCTCTTCCTCCCTCTCACACCCCTGTTTCCCTTGCCCTTTCGCCTCTTCTCAGTCTCTCTCGTTGCCTCTTTCTCCCCGGCTGGGAATCGAAGATTTGTTAATATCGAGCGCCTAGCTAGTGCCATGTCAAAATGGCCGACGTTTAGTCCACCCTTAGTTCCGATTTAACCGAACGTTGATCCGCGACGCGTATGTTAACGGTTTCGATTATTTATCATATGCAAAAGTTTCGATGGAAGGGTTTAATTTAATTTCTGCTAGAGTTTCGATCATTTTAACCCTTTTCAAAAGATTAATTTCGTTTCACTTAAAATTAAGGGCAGAATTTAGAAATTAAGAAAGAATTACGTACAGGGTGTTCCAAAAATCGTGATTCTATATGCAAAAATTTCGATTATTTGTTGAATTCTTTTTCAGCACTCGTTTTCAATATTTCGTTCCATTAATTTTATTAAATTAAAAAGACAGAATTTAGGATAAGAAAGAATTATGTACATACAGGGTGTCTCAAAAATCGTGGTGATTCTAAATGTAAAAGTTTCGATTATTTGTTAAATCTTTGTATTCGTTTTTAATTTCGTTCCATTAATTTTAAAATTAAGATCGAAGAATTTAGGATACAAATTATAGAATTATCTGAGCAATTTTTCAAAAATTGTACTGTAATCGATAAATGATAATTTTATATGCAAAAATAAATCGAAGAAAAAAAATGATATTTCTTCACGATCTTTGTTTTCGAAAGAAATAAGTTTAAAAATTTGTTAGGTGTCTATATATTAATTGGATTGATCAGATTATAGTTTTTAAAAATGTTGTAATTTTTCGTAACAGAATGAACTTCAAAATCATTATCATTTGAAAATTTGAAAAACATGACTTATAATTTTATATTAGATTTATCATTATATATAAGTAAAAATGTTTAGATTGCTGATATTAATAAGATTGTCAATTATTATTGCAAAATATAATTTCGAAAATTTTGGGAATTTTAGAGATGTAATAGAGATGTAATAAAAGTCAATGAATTTAAAATTTGACTTTTTTTAATATATTTCAAAATTTTTTATTTTTATAAAAAAATATTACAGTTAATTATTATTATAATTATAATTATTTTGATTTAAAAACTAAGAATTAATAATTGTTCTAAATAGGCCATTAATGTCGGTAAAATGATATATTAGCAAAGTACGAGAATGATAAGTAAGATAAGATTTGAAAACTGTAACAACATTGCAAATATTAACTTCTACATTGTGTAGATATTTTGTAGATAGTCATACATTATAAGTTTTTAATTAATTTCTGGTGCGATTAGATTTTATCACGATAAATATAAAATATCTTATTTAAAAGAAAAAAAATTTGATTAGAGATTAATAATATATGTGATTATATGTTAGTAATTTTTATAATATATTATGTTGATGAAGTTAATAACAAGAATTTTCATCTCTTAATAAATAATTTAACAAATTTATTCAAAAAAGGAGACATAAACAAATCGTGATTTAACTCAATTTTATCATTAATCATTCAATATTTAATATTACGGATAATATTTTTATTCGATATTGATTTTAATTGCAAGAGATAAATTTATTTATACATAAATATATCCTGTGCCATTCCTTTCATAATATTAATTTAAAATATTCAATATTTAAATATTGTACAATATTTTCTTCCTTCGTAAATCATTAAAAAAAAATTAATCATAACAATTAAATATTTTCTTTTTATTATAATAAAAAGAAATTTTTAACAATTTTAAAATTATTTTAATTAATTTTGATAAAGAAGAGGACTGTATTTTTTTTTTTTTTTAACTTTTGGAAATATTCCAATTTTCAAATCGAACGATTCAATCAACAAAATTATGATTATGTTCGAATCATTATTTAAAAAAATCCCTAAAAAGATGAAGAAACATACAGTGTCACAAACTTTCCAATCAAGCTGTACGCGTATTCGTGTCGACGTTAAACACTCGACTGTGCTAAACCAGAGCTTAAACAAGTAAACGCGCGAGAAACATCATCTAATCGCGTCGTGAACAGTTGACAGTCGTGCGCATGTTTTGTCGTGTAGTTAAGTCGAAATTACTACTAAACTATTCGTAAAAATTGCATCCGTATCTCACTAATAATATCATCAAAAAAAAAAAAATCTCGATAAACGAATAATTAAAACGAAAAAAATCGAAAATGTGTTCGAATTCGACGACCGTGCTACTGAAAAAACGCGAAAGGACACAAAATTGGATCCCTGAGGAGAAAAACGCCTTATTCTCGTTAATCAAAGGACACGTGAGTGCGATCGAAAACAAAAAGATCGATGCGGCCGCATCCGCGATGAAAATGTTAGCTTGGCAACAGATTCACCGTGCCTTTCGCGGGATATTCTCCACAGACAGGGATATCACCAGAATGAGAGAACAATGGAGAAGAATGAAATCGCAGGCGAGGATGGAGATGTATACTTTTGCGGAAAAGGTTAATCAATTGTTGCATTTCTGTTACATCGATTAGATCGCGTTTATATTAAGCAATTTGTGATCGATCAAATCGATCGACTAAGAGTAAATAAAAGTCGTATTTACATTAGACAACTTAGGTTGACAACCAAAGTTGATTACCAGTTGATTTTCGACGAATCGTATTGTTTAAATATATATATGTATATATGTATATGGCGTGTGATGGAAGAGCAGCGATCCAAAATATAAACACGAAAGGTTAAGTTTTAATCTGTCGATAATATTGTGTATTTGTGTTATTGTTCAGTATGAGAAATATAAGCATTGAAGCTTTGACTGAAGGTTAGTTTGTTTTTATGATTAGATGTAAACTATTCTAACGTGAATCAAATCGATCGAAAATAGATGAATTATTTAGGCTTTTCACAAACGTTAAAGAAAAAGAAAGTTTTAACGTTCGTCATAGCATTATATTATAAAACAGATGCGTATAAACTATACCTTATTTCTGTGTTTTATAATATTGGATTTACACTGCTGTTCTCGAGAGATACAATTGTAATAGTTTACAAACTATGTATTCATTGTGAATATTTTTACGAATAATAAGCAATGTGCAACGAACTAGCCAGCGAATAATATTTATAAACTGTTCGTTGGTGAATATACGCCTTAATGCTACGATTGTAAAAAGAAGGACATCCGCTTTAAGAGTTTAGCCTGCTTATTGATTTCAATGACTTTGAAATATATTGTCAAAGTTGTGATTTTGAAAATTTTTTTGCTATGTATATTCCTACTTTAATTTCAAATATTTTCATAAAAAAAGTATTATCAAATTTAAGTTTACAAATACATTCTTTCTATATGGTCACCTAATAGTAATTGCATTATATATATAATATAATTTAAACAATAAAGAAAAGTTAATGTTAGATTAGGTTATATGAGATTAAATTTTATTGATTTATTGCATTTTATATAATTCATTGTAATATAAATTACTTTTAGTTCAATTAAAACTTATATCAACTTATTATAATTATTATATACATTTAGAAATTCATATGATCAATTTCATTATGATTCTTAGGTTTCTATTTATTTTTTATCTAATATTAAAATCTACGATTTAAAATTGTTGATCTATCATAAGTCTATCTATCAATGTATCAAATATGAGTAATAATATATTTGTCATAAAAAGCGAAATATGATATATGTTATCAATTATAAATTTAAGTCTAATAAATGTTTTTTTTTTTTTATAAATAGTTTCTTGGAAATTAAAGTTAATGATACTAATATAAATATAGAATTATGATAAATGATAATTTTACAAAATATTTCGAAGTTATTAAAATCCGAAAAAATTAAATTCTAAATAATTGATATTTGATGAATAATTGAGCTATTTTTATTGAACAATCAAAAGTCGTTAGTATTATGTTACTACGAAGAACTTGATCAATTCAGTGTTCGATCAAAAGTTGCCTAATGTAAACGCGGTTTTAGAACAATAATGATTGATCGAATGTTTGAAAAATGAATGAGCGTGTCTT